TTAGAGTTGCTAAATGAGAAATTTACAAATTAAAATTGCTCCCGGTAATTGATACTCTGTTAAGTTATTCCAGAAATAAGTAGATGAAGATACTTTAATCAATTTGAATTAAATGGCCTTCGCATCTGCAATCCTTGTAGATTAAACTAATTGAAAACATGAATATCATCTCAAACATCTTGTAGTACCCAACCTAAAAGTTGTGATTTTAACGAACATCAACTATCAACACATTAACGTGGGAAATTCTGGCTTGAAATTTTAGGCAGTATGATTTAATGAACTTTGTCAATTATCTATTTAATTGCATATTATAGTATGAGATCTTTCTTCGTACTAATTTCAGATTTACTATACCAAAAATTTGCATTCCCATTCTGCTAATGGGCTTTTGAGAAAAATTACAATTGCTTGGCCTCAAAAAAGTACTTGGATGTCAGGTATAGATTTAAAATAGTCCAAAAAAAGAGAAAAACCCAAATACAAATATTATCTTCATCTAAGAAACAATAGACAAAGGAATTAGTACATAGATTGTATCTTTAATCCTCATAGGAAATCATTGAGAAGTTCATTGTAAGGAACCTAACAACTTAGCTTCTGCTATTAAAGCAACTTTCCATGAATGAAATTGCTAAAAGTTTGAAATTCATGAATGCAACAGGTTTAAATAAAGTACCATGCAATTGTATTAGGTTTCTACAAACAAATATCCACACTATTTCTATATAGGACCATGCTGCCATAATTTTGATACAGAACAAGAAACCCATGGTTGTTCAACCTATCGTTCTGTATCGTTAGGGCTACCATAGGTTAGTTACAATTGAATAATTGCCGTAGTTGTAATAGTTTTAGTACTATTTTTATTGGTTGTCTTAGAGTTTTATTATTATTACTAGCATAGAACGAATTTGATATTTAGGAATAATGGACAAATGATATTGGACCCTCTGACTGGTCTTATATTAGGTGTCAAATATCATCCCAGCCAAATACGTAGGTTTGTTCATTTAGGGTTCTCAGTATGTTTTGTTTCCTTTTTACAATAGGATACTCATTGTAGCCTATAAATTGTTAAAGTTTGGGCTTTTGTAATCAGGCTTTTCCTTCAATTAACATATATCATTTGTTGGTTTTACAAATTGTAAGAGTTTTCTCTCGTTTTCATGAGTTTTTGATTCATGGCTGGATTTCGTTCGTGCAACGATTCTGGTTTGGAGAGTATTCATGAAATCCCTTCTATTCCTATGCTTTTGATACTGCACCAAGTGGTAGCAAAGCAAGCTTCTTCTATGATAAACCTTGGTGCATCCCACCTTAGCCTAGAGGGCCTTGATGCTACCCTAGATCATTTTGAATGTCTTTTTCATGATCTAGGCAGATGGTTTGAAGCAAAAGATTACTTCAAGAGATCTACATGCCAAAGATGCACAAGCAGGAGATTCGCTCTTAACAACTCCGATGTTCGTGCAGTCTCTCCGAGATCTCATGGTTATTAGATTTATAAGGATCGTCGATATGGAATCACTCAATATCAACATCTGATCCGTGAAACTACAAATACCAGTTGTTGTGGGAAATTTTGAGGCTGTTGAAGTATTGGAGCCTGAGGTTGAGGATGAGTAGGAATATATTTGTGAACCCAAAGGTGAAAAGGATGAGTTTGTCTGTGACGTTGATGGTTAAGAGGCCAAGTTTGTTCCATCTTTCTCATCTGACAAACCCAAGTCAAGTTCGAATCTACAACCATAAGGCTTGAGGGATTGGATGAATTCTTAGATATTGAGATTGATGAAATCTTCATTGATCCATCACCAGATTTATCTTCCATCCAATTTGTTGTCTCTGTCAGTATCCTAGACCAAGAAATTTTTAGCATTGGTGAGAAAGTTATTTTTGAGATGCCTTTATCTATTAATAATTTTCGCACCAAGGATAGGCAGGTGGAGTACTATATCCTCCAGGAAAGTTTGTCTTACTTGTACTGACAAAGGTAGATGATGGGATTGTTGGGTTTGAGATCTTTTGACGAGCACGGGGCATGTATATAACATTTAAACTCATTCCATAGTCAAGTTTTATATTATAAAATTCTAAATACCCCACACGTGATTTTTTGCAAGTATACAGGTCGAGATTGAGTAAGGTATTAAGGGTCGAACCCACAGGGAAGAATGTTAATTACCGATGATTTTCAAACTTCTTTATTATTTATACTATCACAAGTAAAAGAAATTAAATCTACACTATAACATGAGATAAAAGTAATGAAAATAACAATAGAAAACTCCTAGAGGTATGGAATTCCTTACTACTCTTGCAAATGAAATTATCGGTTTAGTGCATGCTATTATCTTGGATAGTTATGGCATAATTTCCTTATGTATGTGAAACTTGCTCTCGTATTGAATCAACTATACTTGTAGCTAAACTATACATACTCTCGTGGTTATAAAATAAACTACAAACTCATTTCTTCTATGAAATTACCTGAAACAAGTCACTAAAGCCTCAAAGTGCACATCTACTCTCGTGAATGAACTCTCAAGGTTTATCACTTCCTTAAACTAGTGTTAACTTCCACTTCTCATTGCAAACTTAACACCTTAAAATTATCACAATTAATGGCCAGTTAATCATGATTATAAAAGCAAAAGTGATCAATAACTTAAAATAATATCACCAAATAACCAAGTAAACATAAAAAACAAGATATAGAAAATTCATCCATAACTCTAGGCATAAACTTTAGCAAAACATGAAAGAAAACACCAAACTTGTATTATAGCTAAACATGAAGTTAAATACAAAAGAGAAAGTGATAGGAGAGAAGTCACCCTTCATTCAAATCTAACTATAAATACAAAAAGGATAAACTACATTAACTATACTAATTTAAAATTTTTGAGCTAAAAATTACTTTTTAGAGTTTTTCTCTCCCTTCTCTCTAAAATCTTTCCTCCTTTGTTTTTTCTGCTAAAACATCTTTGTTGGTTCTAAATTGAATGGCTGCCCTTCAGCCATCGGCTGAGGGGCAAGGATCTCCTACAAAAAAAAAATCTTTCTCCCAACTCTTTTCACGGCCTTCAACATCTCCAATCCAAATTCGGCAGGCGACTTCTTATAAAGGTGAAGCGGCAGTCATTTTCTCCAGAGCAGATGCGGAAAAACTTGCGGCGCCGTTTCGATGGACTTTGGTTGGAAAATTTTCTCATGGGAGACCTTCGTTAGAGGATATTCGAAAGTTCTTTGCTTCGTTAAATCTAAAAGATCACATTTCCATTGGATTGATGGACTATAGACATGTGTTGATCAAGTGCTCTGCTGAAGAAGATTTTAACAGGATTTGGACGAGAGGAGTTTGGCATTTGAGCAAATATCCAATGCGTGTATTTCGTTGGACCAGGGATTTTCATGTGCATATAGAGAATCATCTCTAGTACCGGTTTGGGTTGAGCTTCCAAATTTACCTATTCATTATTTTGATAAACACTCTTTGTTCTCCATTTTATCTCCAGCAGGAAGACCATTGTTCCTAGATTCAGCAACAGCCGCTGGAACGCGTCCTAGTGTGGCCAGGGTATGTGTTGAGATTGATGTAGCGAAGCCTGTTCTGCAGAGGATCTGGGTGGCTGTTGAAGAAGAATCAGGTTTTTGGCAAAAAATTGTTCCACAGAACATGCCACCATATTGCTCATCTTGCTGGAGATTGGGTCATTTGTCTGATAATTGCAAGAAGAACTTCACCGACGATGGATATCGCCAGCAAACTAATCAAACCAAACGGCTGCAACATGGTTCAAAGTTACTTGCGAATAATCAGCATGGGGTAGTTATTACACCTGTGTGCAACCCAAAAGCTAAAGGGAAAGTTACAATGGATGTCATTACAGCTCCTGAACATACACGACTTCCTGGTACGCTTGAAGGCGAAGGTACGTCAACAGGTGCAATGGAGATTTCTGCTGGACAAGCTCGACTAGTCGAGGAACAGGAAACAATACTATCCCAAGAGGATAAACTCACCTACGTTGCTGCCGAACATCAAGTAGTCAAGGAGACAAAAGCTTCCGCTGCTGATGCGCATGGACAGTCGGATATTCCTACCGATGTTGAGGAGGAAAGAAAAACAAAAGCTTCTGCTGCTGATCATGGACAGTTTGTTGCTGACGATGACAAGGAGGGACCATTGCATAATGAGCATACGGGAATTGCAACCCAATTGGAGGTTGTCCATGGTGATGGGTCCCAAACGGAAGTGGAGAAAATTGTGGGAGAAGTTCAGCAGCAAATGTCCGACACCAATGAATTGATAACCGACAATATCAATGGCAATGTAATTAAGGGGTCCCAGACTATTGAGCAGCAGAATTTGGGAAGTGCACACCTACAAAAGGCCGACACTAATGAGTTCGATACTCTCTATGTCGAATTGTGTGGGGCTGATGTAGAAGATTCCACATCCAAGGCGTCTGCTGAAGTAGCTTTGCCAACTATCGCGGGAAACTTATCTCCAAGATTGGTTGAACCAAGTGAGCCGTCAGTGGAGCCATTAATAAACACTTTGAACATTGACCAATCTGTAGTTGATGAGAGGAATTGCCGACAAGAAAGGGTAAAGGGTGTGCGAGCATGTATCCCATCCGACAGACAGTTACGTTCAGCAACATCATCACACAGCTCTATCCAGGTTTTTTCTCATGATTAGTGGTCTATTTTGGAATATTAGAGGGGTATCTAAAGCCCCTAATTTAAGAAGATTGATTAAATTAGTACGTATTCACCAGTTCAAGTTTGTTGCGATTTGTGAACCTAAGCTACACCTGACCAAAATTGAGTCCATTCGTCTACGACTATTATTTGATTCTACCTGTGTTAATTGCTCGGGTGATATTTGGATATTCTATAGTAGTTCTTTTGTATGTTCCATTGTTGGTAGTTCGGATCAGCATATTTCTATACATGTTCAAAGTCAATTGCTTTCTACTCCAATAGTCATGTCTTTTGTCCATGCGAAGTGTTCAGTGGAGGAGCGTCGTGTCTTATGGTGTTCCTTATTAAATGATAAGCCAAATTCTCTTCCTTGGTGTATTGGAGGTGACTTTAATGTTATATTAGCTCCTCATGAAAAACGGGGGGGTCGTCCATTTGCTATAGCGGAGGGGGCGGATTTCATGTCCTTTATGGAAGAAGCAGGGATATTTGATGTAGGATTTTCAGGAGCTAGCTTCACGTGGTCTAACAATAGGAGAGGGAGAGCTCGGGTTTCAAAGAGGTTGGATAGATTTTTAGTCAATGGGGCTTGTTTGGATTTCTCCGACGTAATTTCTGTGCTTCACCTGGCAAGACATCCCTCGGATCATGCACCCTTGAAAATTTCATTTGAGAATCGATCAGAAAATAAGCCGCGGCCTTTCAGATTTTTGAATGTCTGGACGACTAGACATGACCTCTTGGAGGTGATTCGCCAGGCTTGGAATCAAGATGTGGGTGGATCTCCGTTGCGTGTTTTGTGTTCTAAATTATTGGCAACGAGGAGGGCTATTCAGACATGGAACAAGCAACACTTTGGGAATATATTTGATGCAGTTCATTCTGCGGAATTGGAGGTCCAACGTGCAGAGGAAGCTATGGATCAATATGTATCGGAGGAATGTCAAATTGAGCTTAGCAAGGCTCAGGCAGAGCTGCGCCATGCATTGTCAATTGAAGAACAATTTTGGAGGCAAAAATCCAGGGTAAAATGGCTCAAACAAGGAGATCGTAATTCAAGGTATTTCCATGCGGTAGTCAGGCAAAGACGGGTTCAAGGAATGATACACCGCATCAAAAAGTCAAATGGGGTCTGGGTGGATACAAATGCTGATATAGCAACTGAGGCAATATCATATTTCTCTAACCTCTTCACGGGCTCTTTGCAATCAGCTTCTGATATGCAGCACTTAATTTCGCCCATGATCTCGGAAGAGGATAATGCAAAATTGGAGGAAGTGCCTTCGATTGACGAGGTTTATCGAGTAGTGCGATCAATGGATGGGGATAGTGCTGCTGGCCCAGATGGTTTCACAGGTAAATTTTTTACATTCGCCTGGGAAGTTGTCGCCCAAGATGTCTATAATGCGATACTTAGCTTTTTCTGTGGGGCAGAGTTACCTCGTTTCATCACCTCTACCTCCATTGTGTTAATTCCAAAGAAGCCAAATCCTCAGGAGTTTTCTCAATTTAGGCCCATCAGCTTATGTAATTTCTTCAACAAGTTGTTATCCAGGATTTTAGCTGATAGAGTGGCTTATGTTTTGCCAAAAATCATTTCACCCCAGCAGACAGGCTTTGTGAAGGGCCGTAATATAACAGATAACTTTCTGCTAGCTCAGGAAGTAGTATCGGGTATTGCAAAAAAGAATAGAGGTGGGAATGTTGTATTGAAGCTAGATATGTCTAAGGCATATGATCGGGTAGCATGGCATCATATTATTGGTGTTCTTAGGAGATTTGGCTTCGGGGAAATATTTATTGACCTGGTATGGCGATTGATCTCTAATATCTGGTTTTCGGTTATTATAAATGGGGCTTCACATGGTTTCTTTAAGTCAACGAGAGGACTACGTCAGGGTGACCTATTATCGCCTGCATTATTCATTATTGGGGCTGAGGTATTATCTAGAGGCTTATCTAACCTTTCTATGCAATCAGGTTTTGTCAATTTCAAAGTCCCATATGCATGTCCCTCTATAACTCATTTGGCGTTTGCGGATGATATTCTCATTTTTGCAAACGGATCGTCCTACTCTCTGAAAGCTATCATGCATGTGCTTGAGGAGTACCAAAGATGTTCAGGACAGCTGATAAATGTGCTAAAAAGTTGTTACTTGGTTCATCCATCTTTACCACCGACAAGACGAAGGGTGATTGAACGTATCACAAATTTTACCTGGCAATCATTTCCGATTCGGTATTTGGGATTTCCACTTTACTTTGGGAGATGTAAATCGTCATATTTTGGGGAAGTGTGTCAGTCTATTCTAGGGAAAATAATGTCATGGAAATCAAGGATGCTTTCCTTTGGAGGCAAGATAGTTCTAATCAAACATGTGCTAGCATCGATGCCACTACATCTGTTGTCAGCTGCAGTTATCCCGAATAAGGTATTTAGAACTATAGAAAAGGCCTTCTCGACCTTCCTTTGGGGGTCATCATCTGAAGAATCGAAATTTCACTGGATAAAGTGGTCTCAGATGTGTTATCCGGTAAATGAGGGAGGCGTTGGCTTCCGGAGGCTAAAGGACATCTATAAAGCCTTCTCATTCAAGCTTTGGTGGAACTTCAGAAAGGGTTTGTCGTTGTGGGCTGCATTCATGAAAGCAAAGTACTGCAGACTGCTACATCCTTGTCAGGTAGAAATCAGGACAACAGACTCGGCACTCTGGCGGAGAATGGTCAATGTTAGTCGACAAGTGGAGCTCTCTATGCTATGGGTTGTCAAAAACGGAGCTTGTCACTTTTGGTACGATAATTGGTTGGGGAGTGGTGCTTTGTTCCTCCGAGCGACGGTTGTCCCTAATCTATCATTTGATAATGTTTTCATCAATGGATATTGGGATGTGAATAAGTTATATCAGACACTGCCAAGGGAAATGGTGCCCTCCATTTTAGAGCATCCGGTTCCGGAAGAAGGGGGTGAAGCCGAAGTCATTTGGATGCCCACGACATCTGGAAATTTCTCTCTAGCATCTGCATTTTCGGAAATTAGGCAAACCCGCAATAAGTCTATGGTTTTTGACAGAATTTGGCATCCTCAACTCCCTTTGAAAGTTTCATTCTTCATGTTACGATTGTTGTTGGGGAGGCTGCCCCTACCGGACAGGTTATGTAAACTTGGCTTTCACTTACCGTCAAAATGTTTTTGCTGCTATTCGGCATCTGAGGAGTCAATTGAGCATTTATTTTCCAATGGCCATATAGCATCCACAGTTTGGAATTATTTTGGAGCTGCATGTGGACTGGCCTTTCCAGGGTCATCTTTACGGCCCCGCATAGTGGGTTGGTGGTTGAGTTCACAGCATTCTGAGATACGACGATATATTGGAAGCATTCTTCCCAGTGTAGTTTGTTGGAATATTTGGAAATCAAGAAATAAAGCAATGTTTGAGAATGTCCACATGAGTTCGCCTGCCATTTGTTTTGCCATTTTCTCGGATATCCAAAACATGGTTGAAATTCATTTCAAACAAGTTTTCCGAGTACAGTCATTTTATGATTTGTATGATTGGCCGTATTCAGCTAATATTGAGTTTATATACAAACTTGTTAGTTGGGAAACGAAGGAATCCGGTCGGTTCATACTAAATACGGACGGTTGTTCTAAGGGTAATCCAGGATTGGGTGGAGGTGGTGGAGTTCTTCGAGATTCAAATGGCATACCTTTGATTGGTTTTTCGGCATATTTTGGGGAAACTACATGTCTATGTGCAGAGGTTCGAGCCCTCCTTATTGGTCTTCAAACATGTGTGCATAGAGGGTTTGGGAATCTCTGTGTCCAGTCGGATTCTTTGGTATTAATTGGAATTCTTCAGCATCGCATTCAATGTCCCTGGAAGATTCGACGTGACATTAGGCAGATTTGGCAGTTTGTTAAAGACCCACATCGTTTTTCGCATTGTTACAGGGAAGCTAACAAAGTAGCTGATGCATTGTCCAATGTGGGAGTATCTCATCCAGAGCATCAAGTCAAGCTATACGAGTCCTTTAATACATTCCCAACTATGGCTCGTGGGGCAATTCGCCTTGATAGATTAGGGATGCCATCAATTCGGAAAATTAAGCGTATGAAGGGCTGAGTAAAAAGGAGATTTGAAGTGAGTTGGCTATGAAATGGGGCAAGGAGGTTTGTCTTTGATTTATTGTCTTTAGTGTTGTCTGTTGTACTTTGAAATGGTCTTTTTCCGTTTGTAAAATTTGTTTCTATTAATAAAAGTGATACGAAGTTGTTGAAAAAAAAAAAAAAAAAAAAAAAAACTATACTAATTTACCCTAACTAATGACCTAAGGAAATTCTAGTGAAAGTCTACATTTTTGTGTAGTTCTCTAGACTTCCAAAGTTGTCAAAAATGCTCTCCAAAGGCCTCTATTTATAGATAATTTAAGGTCCAACTGAGTTGTTTCTAGTTGGCAAAGTTGGCTCTTGAAACTCCCAAAAGTTGTTTCTACAAGATTCTATACTTGTTTGCTCATATCTAGCCGGAATTCTTGCAGAAAAGTTGGTCAAAAAGCTTGTATGAATAGAGCACAAGTTGTAGAGCAAGTTGCAGTCACAATTGAAGAATACGCGCCCTTGAAAACGCGACCTACATCACGTATTGACCACCTGTTTTGCTTTTTTTTTTTGCAGGTTTGCTCAATCCTGGTTAATTTTCATCCTTGCTCTGTTTTTGCACCAATTTCAACTGATATTTCTAGATGATGAAGGCTGAACTAACTCTTGTGAAAAACATAAAATTTATAACCCTTTGAGTTAGCTTTCCAATGCTTCCAAAATCATCCAATTTGGAATTCTATAAAATGATAAATGACCAAAAATACCCTTGACTGGTCAATCCACTATTTCAGTTTTTGACAACAAAATTGTACTTATGTATTTTGATATTTTAACTAGGAACACTCATAAAATGGTTTCTAATGTCTCTATAAGAAATGTAGAGCTATGTGCTAGCTTCAAAATGGTTCAAGAATCACCTCAATTGGATGCTTGTAGATCAAGATATAGCCGAAATACCGACAGGTGTAAAAACTGAAAAACTCCTTTTCTTTATTCTTGATTGCATTTCCATTTTTTTGCACTTCATATTCTCTTTTAAAATCTTTTAAATCATCAAAATCATTCACTTGTATTCTCAACTCACTCCAATTGATGATTGAATTCTTAAACCTACAAACACTTTTCACCATTAAAATCCATAGAAATGCAATTGTTCACACTTAAACCATAAAATGCATATTTTCACTAGAAACCTAGTTCATTAGCTATAAAAGTGAATAAAACATACCAAAACTAAATAATAAAACACATTTAAAATACTCAAAATACACACTTATCATCTTCTCAGGATTTTGTAGTGTTTGTGGTGAGATGCAATGTCCATGATATTATTTAGGTCCTACAAAATTTGTGGGAAGATCATCAGCTTGTTATCCCATGCTTGTGTTGGAATTCCCTATAGAATTCGAAAGCGAGATCTTATTAAGTGGGGAGTTTGATACAAAATAAGAAACTTCTAGTTGTTCAATTTATTGTTCTATATCGTTAGGGCTACCCGAAAGTTAGTCAGGACTGAATAAATTGGGTAGTCGTAATAGCTTTAGTACTATTTTATTAGTTTTCTTAGAGTTTTATTATTGTTACTAGCATGGAATGAATTTGATATTTAGGAATAATGGATAGACAACATCGGCCCTGATAAGTGAATATTTAACGTATATTTTGTACAAAGTTTGGCATGAATTTTTGGTATGTTTTGAAAAGATTAAAGCCATATTTGAACTCTTTTGGTGATAATTGATTAAATATTGTTTAAGTGTTCAAAATTTGATAAGTAAGTAGATTAATGTGTTAATTTTGTGAAATTATGAAGGATATTGATATATGGAATTCATGCACGAGATGAAGGAATTGTAAGAATTGTCCTGAGGATAAAGTACAAGAGAAACTAGGAGCAAACATGAAGAGAAAAGAGAAGAAGTAAAAAACTAGAAATTCATCAGCACAGATCCGACCTCGGATCCGTGTGAGTAAAGGGTGATCCGAGGGCTCGTCTGTACTTCTGAAGCAGTGTATCCGAGGTCATACGATCTGAGCTTGGATCCATCAGAGAAAGTCCTCGGATCGATCTTCACCCCTCGGATCCAAGGCTCAGATTTGCCTCTCTCTTCAGCAAGTAGCACAACCATTTTTTCTCACTTTTCACACAACTTTCCTGCTATCTTGGGAGAGAAAATTCGGTGGCACATGCTTCTGCAACAAAAGAGAAGACCAAATGAATTATTGACTAGTCAAAACAACATATCTTTTGACTTCCTTTACAAAATCTGAGTGGTTGAAATCATGAAGAAGAAAAAATATGCCTTTCTACCACCTTTTATGCAGAAACACAAGGGAGAAGCCAGTCATCACCTTACATAGCTAGTTTTTCTTCTTGTAACTAGTTTCTCTCTAGCTAGGAGTTTTTTGAGAAGCATTTGGAGTTTTCACTTGTAATCATCTTGTACAAGAATATAGCAGAAATTGGAGGGTTTCACCATCAATTGGCTAAGCTTTCTTTTATCTTTCTTGTACTTATACTTTATGATGTTTTGCATTAATAAACTTGTGAGTTTGATTGTTAAATCATTCATGAGTAACTAAACTTCTTAATCTAGGGAGTAGATAAAACTTATGGCTAAATGAGATAAATTGAATGTGATTTACACTTGTTATATCTTGTATTAACTTGTCTATTTGTGCATGTAGTAATTACTTGTTATTGCTTGATTACCAATAGCATGTTTATAGTTGTTATTGTTCAATGAGAATTGGTAGTAACAATGAAAACATATGAGTAGAGCTTAAGTTGTATGTTCATGAAAATAGAGATACACTTAAGTGGATTACTTAGCATTTCATGAAAGAAAACAGAGTAGTAGTAGTATTTCACCATGAAAATAGGGAAAACTAGACTACTCTAAGCCATTTTATCATGAGAATGAAGTTTGGTAATATAAGAAATGAATCCCTGGTTAAACAAGAATAATAACAAGAGGTAAATCCATTTATTTGTGTTGTTTATGCCATAAGTGGAATCTACATCCCTAGATTTATCCTAGAGTGAAAATTCTCCATTTGCATTTAGCATTTGCTAAACTAGATTTGTAGATCAGATTTGTAGAAAATAGCAATATGATTTCTCTGCTCAAATTCATTCATAAGTCTAAATAATAGAGAAAACAAGGACCTAGTAATTGGTTAATTTGCTCCTTGTGGGATCGACTCGATACATGCCCTACATTACAATTTTGGCTTGTATACTTGCAGTTAAACGGGTATAAGATCGGATTTAAACTTGTATTGATATAAAAATCCCATCAGGCCCTATGACTGGTCCTATGTCCGGGAGTTAGACATCATCCCAACCAAATAAATAGCTTTGTTTGTTTAGGGGTTTAAGTGTGCTTTGTTTCATTTTAGAGTAGGAAAGATTGTGGCTTATAAATAGGTATAGCTAGGGTTTTTGCAATCAGATTTTTTCTCTAACTAGTAATGGAGAACGTGTTTTGCACATGAATGTGATGCTTTTAGATGTTTTCCTTTAAAATTTTAGAAAATCAATTATTTTGAAGAAACAAATGTAATTGAGACAAACAAATGTGGTATTAAATATTGATATTATTTTATATATTTTTTGAACTTAGTTTGTCCTAGCCAATATAAATGCACAAGCAATAAATCATTCTTTGTTGCAAGAACACTTTTATTTTGTAACAGTATCAATATTTTTGTCTTTCAATTAAATTTAGATGGCCTAAATGTTCTTTTTTTATGCTATTTCAGTTTAATTTTTTAAATTTTTTGAATAATTTGTTGCTCCCTTTTAAGTCATTCTATGAATTGTTTATTTGTTTTAGTGAGATTTTCTAATTATTGTTACCTTTTTGCCAACGATGTATTGTAAAATGATCTATAGTACTATTGCAATTATAATAGTATCTAAATATATTGAAATCCCACCGTTCAAATTTAAATAGCTACACTTTGAAGAGAAATGTTTTGATTCAGAGAAACTTATTTTGTATTTCTCACTGATGACATACTTTATGATTATAGAGTTTATATGATTAAAATTATAAGATGTTAAGATTATTTATTACATAATAGTCAAACTAAACTTGGATATATTTTTATTCACCTTTGAAGTACTCCTTGAAATTGATATTTTATATAAAAAAAATATTTTTTGGCTTAATTTGCCATAAATCAAAGGGATGTTCACTTTTGTAATTGTTATTTTAATTGGATTGTAACTTAATACTATTATTTGTTAGAAGAATATGATTGATAAAGTTCATTAAATTTAATCTTTATTGCAATTTAAAAAATTAAATTCCCAGCATAAAATTCTATGCCTACCTTGGTACTCCATTTCCCATTATATTTTGTATTAAAGGTTTTCTACTCAATACTAATATAAACATATTAAAAATGTACTTTTAAGGCTTAATTTACTTGTATCCAAAAAATAAAAAGATTTGTGGTACTTTTAAGAAACTCATAGTACCAATTTATTATGTTTTGTTTCATGTTTGTAGTACTCTCAAAACTTGGATTTGTAAATAAAATTTGTTCTTCTTTCTTCTGGTAAATAAAAAAAAGTAAGGAATCTTTCATTGTTGTCATTTGCTAGCATGTTTGATATTATTTATTAATGATGAAATACAATGCAATTTTTCCATTTATTAGAGAGGAATGTAATTTTGGCATCACAAAAACTAATATCGTTTTTGGTTTATGCTATTAACCACTAAATTTCACTATATTTTTTATAATTTATAAATAAAATTTATTCTTCTTTTTCGATTTAATTCACTATAACTCAAGGGAATTCTTTTCATTCTTGTAGTTGTTAGCATAGTTGATATTAATTATTGATGAAATGTAATGAATTGGTTGTTCTTTTTTGGTTTAATTCACAAGAATCACCACAATTTAAGGGATGTTTCTTTGTAATTGTTAGCATAATTCTTATTAATTATTGGTTGTTCTTATTTTCTTTGTAACGACACTTCGCCTGAAGAGCCCATTAGCGCGGGC